AAAAAAAAAAATGTTTCCAGTCATGGCCATTAAATTGGGAGAATTCTGAACGGAACTCTACCCAGAGGACAAGTGTGAAAAAAAGATAATTATGAATCATTTCTCATAATACAAACTCGGACTCATTCTTCCTTTTAGTTAATGTGCAAGACAGTCCACACAACAGTTTGACACCCATGGAGAACCACACAATGAGTTCTCCGTGGGGCTGTTACAGTAATCCTCTATCTGCAAGCAAAAACTAGCACCTAGACATCATTTATCGATGACCTGTGACTGGCTTTAGCACCAACAGATTGGTTACCAAGTAAAACCCTGTGGGTGAAAAATATGCTCTGGGCATGTTTAGGTTTTTATGCTCCTCTTCTCCTGTTAAATTAGCTGTAATAACTTGCCATCAACACATTAAGCCTTCTTTAAGGATTTGTCAGTTTAGTGGATGTCTTCAAATTGCATTCTATTTCTATAGCAATTTAAATTATTACCTTGACAATGCTTTTCTTACTTCTATGAATAAAGATGTGCTCTTTATTCAAAAACAACTACTTGCCACAAAGATTGCTCTATGGTGTCCTGCTTTCTAAAAATATAACTATTAAAAAGGCCAGGAACATGAGTTTGGGTGAAAGAAATATGCTCAGTTTTTACTATGACTAAATCTTCATTTAACATGAATTTTTATACTGCTTCAATTATCAAAAGAGAACATTACAATCCCCAAAGACTAAATCACTTGCCTCTTTTAAGAATTATCAGAATAGCATTATGTTGAAAGTGACAGTTTGGTGTTCTGTTTGTTAATGCAGCACAGACTTGCTGGCCAACTGCAACTGGCTATAAGTCCTTATCGCAAATAAAACTATTTTTGTGCCATTTTTATTTTTCACTTAAATGTCACTAGCTCTTCAAGACTCAGGACCTGTCAAGTGTTCTGTTGCCAAGACTCTGCCTGTCAGAAAGGTCATCATCCAGTACCTTCCAGTTGGGTCCCAAAGGGCCTCTTTTGGTCTTGACTGACTGGAATAATGCTGGGTCTTCATCAGCTTTGTAGTCCTGCAAAGCAAAACAAAATCAGAGGCAGAGAAGAAAACCAGAGAAAATTCTTTACCCTTGCTAGAACAGCTCTTCGCAGCTACCAAAACATACAACAGAAACCAATTAGACTTACTGTGCTTTTGCATAAAAAATGGGAAAATGATTCTATACAACATTAAGTTTTCAGTGTGGTTCCCTTTGCTTTAAACTTTTATCTTAGGCAAAACAATTACATAAGAAGAAGTAACAAAAGTCTTGACTAGCAAGCCGTTATGACTTCCAACAGTTATCTCTAAGAAAAAATCTCCAACAGTTTTCAATAGTTTCAGCATTTTGATAAACATATAATCACATTCAAGAAAGAAAACACACCTATTCCTTTTGACAGTACCTAGAGATGACAACACTAGACTATGAGCTCCCACTAGAGAGCAACCACTCTCACAAATCAGAGCTACTGATTCAGAGGCATTCATGCTCCAGTCTCTCCTACAATCGGGTCTGTGGTAGACGCCTCAGTTCCTTGACCAGCCTCTCCATACCCCCATCCACAGATAGCCATGGGGCACACATACCTTGGCTTCCTTGTGGAAGAGGGACCACATTCATGTCAGCCTCTTACTGTCAAAGGAAGTGAGGGAAGGGTGTCATAGGACTGCCTCAGTCATATCATGGCACAGAGGAATGCCCCTAAAATTTAGGTTTTATTCAAGGTTCTAGTGTGTGTAAATTCTGTTTCCCTTAATAGCCTCTTCCTGACAGAATGAAGGAAATGAAAGGAGTAAATATTTTTTTAACCTTTCTGCTTTACTTATAAAAAAAAAGTTCTCTTGTCATTACATATGTATAACACATATAATCTACAGATAAAAATTAAAAATTACCTTTGAAGAACTAAAGACCAGATTTAAAAAAAAAAAGAAATGAGTTGTAACAGTAACAGTGGACAAAAGTCAGTTGGTCAGTTTGAAATACTGCTAAGAGAGAGACAGTGCTTTCCTTCTTGAGCAGACTTTCTGAACCAGGGGTCCTTCACAGCATTCATGAAGTGACCACATACTGTGGGAAAAATGCCCAGCCAAGTCAGATATGAAACCCTGGCTAAAAATCATTGTTCTAGAGATAAGGGCACCGCAAGCACAAAGCAAGCACTGAACATGCTCTAAAGTATAATACAAACTTTCATAAATCAAAGGAAACATGCTGAGAAGCAGCCACTCATGACTCAACAGTTACTCAGTAAATGCATATGGCATGTTAATTCCTAAAGAGATAGTTATAAATAATGTGAGGAAAGAAAAATGCAAGGTTCAGGGAGAAAACAAAGTTTTAAAGAAAGATAACTGGGTAAATATGTGAACTTAAACTTGAAGCCTGTCTAAAAAGCTACAAAAATGCCTAACAATGGGCTAAATTATTAGCCAAGAAAAAAAAAGAAAACCCACAAAATAGTGAACACAATTATCACTAGGGCTAAAGGAATAAAACCAATGACATTATATGATAAGGGTAGTCCATAAACCAAGAAACAACTAATTTAAGAAAAGAGAGCTTAGTCTAAATTGAGGCCAGCATATACTATTCTCATGCAGGGGTAAATTAATTAAGGGGGCGACATATCCCAGAAGAGAGGCCTAAGCTTGATTACCAGTGAAGGTGACAATGTATGTGGGTGGATCAGATGGACTTCCCTTTACAACGTTCCTTCTCCTTCCTAACCTCACTCAGCTCCATTCCAAGCTGACAACTTCAGGGATTTTCAATACCTATTGAATATAGATTAATTAACTAAAGAAAATGGAACAACACTTCAAAACTTCTCTGCTATGCACCTAACTAATCTACTGTTTCAAAAAGTACATTTCCAAGCCTTCAATATCAGTGTTAGTTGTTGAGACACTTTTCTCAACTATGGATTCACAGAATCATAGAGGTGAACCAAACCTTAGACCACCCGAGCCCCCTCACTTTACAGGTGAGGAAACCACAGCACAACGAGGAAGTGGTATGGCTCACCTACCCTACAACTTCAACTCAAGCCTTCTTAGCCTCTGTCCTGGGCTCATTCTAGTACACCACAAAGGATGATGGTAAAAAGTGTCAACAAATGCTAGATAATCAAAACACATTTCAAAAATACCAATAAACTGCAGGACCAGAGATGTGAAAGTAGATTGTAAGGCACATATGTATATACTATACACAAACATATATGTATACATGAAACTAAGTCTTCCCCTCTCTGCTTTTTCCTCTTGAATACAAAGCAGCTAACGTTAAGGGTATGCTACTGAAAATGTAACAAAACCTGACGATTAACAATAGCATTTTAACCTTGAAGGATGAGAATAATTCATCTTGTTAAAACCTGGGAATTTCTGTACTTTTTTACGTTAGTTTGAAAATGTAAATGTTCAAACAGTTGAATTAAGTAGCAAGATATTTAAAAGCAGGAAGGAGGTATAGTTCTAACAGCCTCAGTTTTGTGTCTCTACAACAAACATTTAATTTGTTGAACAGTCTCTTTGCTACAATTTCATTGTTGGGTATCTAGTTTGGTCTTTCTGTATTTGAAAACTGGCCGATTTATAACCGTATCACAATGAACAAAAATATTCCTTCACGTATGACAGTTTCAGCATACAGAATGCAACCTCAGCTACCAATTATAGCTGCAAATGAGCAATAGTGTGGAATGAGACAGCCTGCTGGCTTTGTTAGTATTCTGTCTCCTTTGGGATCCCATGGGGAAAGGGTAGACTCTGATGAAGAGAAGCCCTTGGCTCATGGTTTATTGTGCTTGCCACCAGCTGCAGACTTCTCATCTCATTAGTTCTTTTAGAACACTGTGGGTGAAGACAGCTGTAGCCTACTTGAGTCTTCAGCTCCTGGGTATTCTGAAGGCTGAATTTGCTATGCACTTTCCGTAATCCTTGAGAAAAAAAAAGAAAGCAAATTCACTAGGCCAAGGAAATGATTTTTAAAATGGGTTTTAAAATCATGTTTAAAAGTAGAAAAGTCTTATTGCTAAGGTGCATTGTGTTAAAAATGTTTTATGATTCAATTTTAATTATCTGTATACTGTCCAGAGGCCTGGTCAGGATAAGGCCTTAGTAAAACCATCATTATTAAGTTAGGTGTGATGTCCCTAGACACTACTTGCTCCACCAATAATGGTGCCTGAACAACAGAAAAATACAATGATATGAGAATAACGTAGATTTGGATTAGTGTTAATACAACTCTATCTAATTGAAAACTCTTATTTAAGTAAAAAGGAAAGCTAGTGAAAGTCAAGACACCCTTTGGGGAACAAAATAAAATACAGTATGGTAAATAAATGGATTACTGAGTCTCCATGCTGGAACCACAGAATACATTCATTAAATTCTTATAAATAACTGTTTTCCGTCACTGGAATACAAAAGTTGTGCTACCTCTTGGGTGTACATCTGTTACTCACTACAGCTCTCTACAGAAACTCTCAATAGAAACCAGATTCATTTTGAAGACAAAAAATATTAGCTTTATGAATCGTTTAGCATAGTGGCTGTCCCCCATAAATGCAAGCACAAAATCTGTGCTGAGCCAACCTAAATGCTCTTGAGCCCAGATTTAACTCATGATTATGAATGGTAAAGTGAGTAAGAGGTGGGGGGCAGGCTGGTAAGAATTTCTTGACAGCGTCTGGAAAAACTGAGATGAGCTCCAGACACCACAAGTGCTTCAAGAACCATGCCTGGGTTACCACAGGTGAGACCAAGTGTAAACTAAGAAAAAGTACCCAAACCAAGCACTGGCAACTCCTTAACACCTACTTAAAAAAGATCAACACCCTGCCCCACCCACCTGAGGATGTGGGGAAGAAGAGAAAAAATTTTACAGGGTAAATATAAAAACTTGAGAGGGATAGGGCCGGCCCGGTGGCGCACTGCTACAGTGCGCCGCTTGGGAGCGCGGTGGCGCTCCCGGCCGAGGGGTCGGATCCCACATACAGACCGGTTCCCGCTCACTGGCTGAGCGAGGTGCGGGAGCAACGACGAGGGTTGCGATCCCGTTGCCGGTCCCGGTCCGGTGCGGGCGTGGCACTGGGGGTTGCGATCCGTTGCCGGACACGGAAAAAAGACAAATAGGGAAAAAAAAAAAAAAAAACTTGAGAGGGATATAAGGATCCTGCAGCAGCCTACTATAAAATGCCTTCCTTTAGCATAAAATGACTAATTAGGTATCTATTCAAATAGCTCAAATATAATCACTAAGTTTAAAATGCATGGGTATTGCTACTCAACATAGCAAAGCTTATTTCCGCTAATCACATCCTAAAAATAAAGCCCATGATGGGAGAAAAAGCTGAATTAAATACGAAGATAAATAACAAATATTATTTATTAGCAATGCCCTGAATTTTTCATATTGTAGTACTTAAAAAACAAGGAGTTCCTGAATCCTATCACCGCTGACCCTAATGCCAAATGCATAACTAACTGGAGCTGACAATATTCAGGCCAGACTCCAAAGGGTAATAAGCCCGTTAAAAAAAATGTTTGCATTAAATTTTGCAACATTTAAAGAGCAAATAACAGAGGTGTAAAAAGAAATAACATTTACTAACTTGTTTAAGAAACTGATTTCAACAGTTATTTTCAAATAAGCAGCTTTCTTTTATATGTTTAATTACATCTCCCCAGTGACTCCTCAACCTTTCAGGTTCCCACAGAGTACCATTAATACAGAAGTAAATCTCATTAATTCAGCCCCTACCACCTTGGAATTCATAATCATTCGGACAGGGGCTGGGCTGAAGTTTATCTTTGCATGATCTATGAAAAAAAGATTTGCTACACAAATTAATAGAGTAACAAGATCTCAGGAGGGCTGTTTAAACAGTTCAGAAGTGTTTTAGAGCAATTCAGAAGCATTCATTTGCATATAATTATTATGCTAATTACAAATCATTCTTATCTATTCATTAAAGCAGATTCCCAAAGGACCACTAATTGTCAATAACTTGTTGTACT